TTTAAGCCAATTACATAAATAGCAACACTAAGTTAGTTGTAAGAAATATAATATTATATGCATTATTTTGCACTTTTATAAATTTAAAAATAAAACCAAATTGGTTTTAATTTTTCATTTAAATGTTTCAAGTACCCACGAAAAATTTTTTTAAATTATAACTCTTTATTTTTTGTTAAAATTAAAGCTTATGAAATTCCAGATGTAGTCTAGGCTCCTTAGGCTGCGACCGTAGACCCTTGTTTGACATAGGTGGTTGTTAATACATCAACAATTTTCATTTATTAATAATTATTATATTCTAATTTAATATATGTAGAATTAATATGACGTACACCCATAATGAAAACAATTCTCTTTCGTATTAATATATTAGTCTCGGTACATATATTACAATAGGTACACACCGTAACAATTTAGAATAATAAAAACAATAAGGTATTTAGCGAAAACATAATAATTAATATAATACTTAATATTTTTGTCACAGTATATATATATATAAAAAAAAACAAACTTAAACAGCAAGAATTGCAAGTATCATAGGTTAAATAATGACAATAAAACGAAAAAAACAAACGTAAACAAAAATAATTACAGGAATTATTGGTAAATAATGCCAAAAAAAAAAGGAATAGGAAACGTAACCATCAAGAATTACAGGCGTTAGGTAAACAATAAATAATAATTATCATAATGAATAATGTCAAAAAACAAAAATAAATAAAAATATCAATTTGCGGCAACATTTTCTAGCCGATGCTGTAACAACATAAGCGCCCGGTGATGCCGTTCTACGACCTGCGGGATAGTCACATTTATGAAATCTTCATGATCCATGTGACGGACGGCGTCGTTAAAGGGGTCCTCGCGGTCTTCAAGGTTGAAGTCAAGTACCCGGTGTTCGTCTCCCAAAATGCGTTTTCGGATACCTGTGAGCTGCAGTTGTAGCTGTTGTTCCACACCGCCCGGCAGGCATCGCTGATGGTCTCCATCACCTCCTACAACGTCGACGTCTTCGGCTGACAGGACTGTTTCTTCGTGGACCGAGGACGGCGAAAATCCAGGGACACTGCAGTCACTCGGTCGCGTTCCCTCTTGAAATCTTAGTAACATGTCGTTCAATCGACTGTTATCAACGTCGCGATGCAACTGTTGCAGCTGCAGTTGAACGTCGATACCAAGATAACTACTAGATATTATGTGATCGGCCACTACTTTTCCGTCGTCGCACTGCACTTGCACATCAACCACGGATGACGGCCTCGGACGATTGGCCGCATCCACCACACTACTGGAACAACGGCGAGGTAGCATGCACTGCCGCCATTTATTTAAATCGTCGGCGACCCTTACGGTGCTGCTGGGTGATGTAGCGATCGTCTCCGTCGTAATTACGCCACCACATTTCAATTCGTTCGAATCAACTTGCACGGCCTCAGACTCTGTCGATGAAAACGTCTTCATAGTGAAGGCAGCAGAATGGCTGACGCTCTTGATTGGCCGATGCGTTCGACAGTACCTCCACGTATTCGTTGACGACGCTACCGGCGAGTTGATCGAAACTGACAACACTGGCTCTTCGTCACAGTCGTTCCGATCTGCGGTATCTTCTTCCGACGACCAAGTACAGTTGGTGTCTTCGAATTCTTCGTCGTCGTCGTCGTCGTCGTCATCTTCTTCTTCGTCGCAACTAATGAAAAACTCCTCATCCGAGTAGTCCGGCAACACTAACGGATGCGACAACGGTGTCGACACAGCTGCGGTGTGTGATTCTGTGCAGGCAGCTCCCGGTGCTTTTGCGGTGCAGGGTGCCTTCGCGTCCGGTCGTATCAATATGATTACTTTTTTCGCCGTGTAAGCAGTCGGAGCAGTGGTTTTCGTGTGAAACTGCTGCAAATGATGTTGCTGCGGTTGAGTTGCCGCGTAGGACACCTGCTTCATGATCCGTCGCTGCTCGACTCTGCCAAAAAGCATTCGGTTCCTGGCCCACAGTTCCGTTTTCATCAGCTGATGCACTGAACGGATTGGTCTGCACTGTCCCTGCAGACGGGTTACCTCTGACCCGATACCCTCGTCATCTATGCCCAGGCTTTCCAGCGGTCTGGATGGTTGTGGCGGTGGAGGTATCGTCACTGAATGATCTGCAGTCACTAACCACGCTTTGCACAACTTCCCGGTGCTTATAGTAGATGCGTAAAAGAATTCGTCATCGCTATCATCACCATCGTCGTTGTTCTCGGCTGTCGTCTCTTTGATCTGTGTGAACAAAAATAAAATTCAAAAACCATAATGCGAATAAACGATGATGTGGAATCTTTATAATATTTATGTTTTTACCTGGCTGTTTATTGCGTATTCTCCGATGTGACTTTGCAGTTGTAGTGCTGGCGAACGTAGAACGTTTTGTCCCGTCACATTTTCTAACGAGTCGAGGTCCGTGGCAGATGCGTCAAAAAATTCATCGTCGTCGTCGTCGTCGTCTTCGTCGTCTTGGTTTTTTTTCTCTACATTCTGTATATAAACATACAAATTCATAGTGCGAATATGCATGGAGGATCTTCAGTACCGTAGCTGGAAATTTTTTTTTTTTTTTGGGGGGGGTGTGGTGCTTAAGCCCTAAGCCCTCCTCAGCTACAGCACCGGGGATCTTAATAATGTTCGTGTTCTTACCGGGCTGTGTATGGCGTATTCTTCGATGTGACTTCGCAGTTGCTGCCAACGTCGTTTGTTTTCGGCAGAGACAGACACCGATGTGGCCGACACAGTAGCCGCCATTAATGCCAGCAATCGCTGGTTAAGCGCCATCAAGTCGTGAATGGAGTTTATGGCCGCTTCGGCTGTTTTGGCCATTTTAGCCTTCTGGTAGATAACGCTCCCGGCATGGCTGCTACTAGCGTCACTCTCGGTATCCATATCGTCGCTGTCAGTATCCATATCGTCGCTGTAAGTATCCATAACAACACTGCCCTTCTTCTGATCCCCCCCGTGTGTGGCTGATGACAGCCTGTCAATCCGTTGCTCGGCGTTGTAGATGCGTAACCGGAGCTGAAAGTTTTCGGTCCGTAGCAGATCCAACTCGTCCATAAGATGAATCTGGTTATTTGTCGGTTTCACGGATGTTACGTTTCTGTTGTGGTTGATGATGCACTCATCGTCAACAATATCGTTACTACGGTATGGTCGACTATCGTGGGTGCTCTGGAGCTCCACGATGCTCGGGTTTGTAACTGGCCCCGGTTGAGGCGAACCCAAAATTTCGGTCGATCGGCATTGTATACCTAATAATTATTAATTACGAATATTATGTAATACAGTTTATGCAATATCAATATACATCAAAAGAAAATACCGTACATGAATCGAATATTGGTCGTATGGTTTTTTAACTATAACTACATAGATGGAAATAAATTCTAAATCTTTTAAAAAAAAAAAAACATTTATCAGGGCGCTACACTCTTTTGTTGTCTCTGTCTTACGAGTGCGTAACTTGTTTAACGCGGTTTATGTTCAAATTGGTTGCGCATGTAACTAAGATAATGCGAAGTGTAAGTGAACAATAAATAATATTACAATTTATTTAGGTACGTATTTTAATGATGATAAACTTAGGGAAGAAAAAAAAAACGCAAACGCGTAAAAGTGTAAAATACATAGGTAACAAATACGTTCGGCGATTCATGTTTATTTTTGAAAGTTGTAATATTAGCGCTATAATTCGCTTCAAAATGAAAACGCCGGAAAAACACATTAAAACACAATTTTATTAACCGTTAACCGCCTTTAATTATTATAAATTGGTAATACAATAATACGTAAATTCAATTCACTCTAAGATTAAATTTAATGAAACTAAACATGAATTGCTCTATAGTCGGAAGGTATTTTTTTTTTGATTGCTTTGCAAAAACCACAAACTAAATGTTTACGAGTCCTTCACCACTAGTCCAGAGTCGTCTAAACTTTAAGATCACGTCATAGTATCGCAATGAGTTAATTATTCTAAGTGTAAAAAATAATACAGTAACGATGTATATTATAACTATAATACCTGATTCCGAAATGTTAATTGCGTGCGATTCCATATCGTCGATAGTGGAATGCTTAATTTCAAAAGTGTTTTTTTTGCAAGTTGAAGTGTCAAGATTGCTCAAAAGTTTTTTAGGTGATATTTCAAAAATCTAGTTTGAAAGAATAATTAATACTGAACAAAAAAAAAAAATATTACACGTTAATAAACAAAATGCGTTACTTGGTGACGCTATGTATTGTTTATGCGTATAGCCAGATAATATTACTTCTACTACTACTACTGCTAATAATAATAATTTTATAATGTGAAATATATAATAAATAACTATTCCGTGTACGGGGAAACAGTATGGTAACTCAATAAGCAATATTAATAGTAATCGAAGAACATGAAAGTAGCTTGTGACAAGAATAAGGAGAAGTGAAAAAGCGAAAAAAGTACGCAAGCCAGTTTGTACCGTTCTGCTGTATTGCATGTGTTGAATTTGAATTTAATAATTAAATATAATTTTATTCGGATAACCATTATGAGCGATGAATTAAGTCTTTTTCAGTACAATAATATTTTTAATTTACAAACAAATAACTAAAATCGTTAATCTCCGCTTAAATATCTACTTTTGTCTAATTTTAACTTAAAATATCTCTTAAAGGATTGTGTTTGTAAAGTTTGTAGATTTTTATTTACAGTATGAACTACTCTCGAGAAACCTTGTCAAAAATTGTGAATGTTTGAAAAGATTGAACATTTTATACACATTGTTAACTTCATAATAATTTGCGAATTGTTGAAAGTTGAAAGTTTAAATCATTATAAATAAAATACTTGAGTATAATATCTTAAATATTTTTAAGCTGCTATTAAAACAACTTATGAGGAACCATTTATTATATTGTCAAGCTGTTTGACCCGAAGAACATTTTTCTATTAACATTTATTGAAAACAATTTAAAAAGTTCAAAAGAGACAAAATATTTTAAAAATTTTGTGGCATGTGTAGGTATAATTGTATTATCGTAACATAAACATTAAGAGAAAATTCAAAGTATCTTAAGGTGTTTGTTATTTAATTTTCGTATTTGGGTTAGGTACAATAAAAAAAAATCGATTTTGTCGAGGACTGATTTTGCCTAAAAAATGGGTATGACTCTACTGAATGTTAGTGATGTATTGTTATTTAAGATATAATGAAATTTGATGTAATTTGATGTATAAAAATAATTATCATGTGCAAACTAATAGTCATGCAAGTGAAGTTGTATAAGAACAATAACAAATAGAAATAAATATTGTCTTGTTTAAGCCAATTAGATTAATAGCAACACTAAGGTAGTTTTAACAAATATAATAGTATATTCACTATTTTGCATTTATGTAAACTTAAAAATAAAACCCAATTGGTTTTAATTTTTCATTAATTATAATTTATGTGTTATACCTTAGGAACTTATTCTGTTTTGATTTCTCGGAAAATAGCCATTAGGAAGGTTTCGGATAACAAAGTATGTAATTATTTCTGCATAGTACTTGTTTAAGTATGTTGAGGATATTTTTGGGTCAACTAAAAGATTATGGTACACTGCAAAATAATATTATGTTTCAAATAACATAAACTAAAAACAATAGGTAACTAAATAGGGATAACTCGTGCACAAACCCACCGGCCACCACTTAATACTCACCAACACATTTGACGTAAAAACATTTCAATACCTCTGTTGGACAAAATAGATTTATATTTATGACCAATTTTCGTATATTATTACTAGAACATTAAAATTATACATATTAATGTACAGTCATCAGCACTTATTCGATTCATTATGGTAACAGATAATTTCAGTCCGTTGACAAATTGAGTCGATTAGGTGAAAGATCCAAGAATAACAATATTTATGTATGTAATAATAAAGAAAAATTTTAAGTTGTCATATAAAAAAAATATTATAATAATCATCTGCTAGTAGTCTTGATTTTGTTTGAAATGTTAAACTAATTTTCTAATTTTATTATTATTAACCGATTTATTATATTAATAATTTTGTTGACACTGTTTACCTGCAGTATTTTCTATTGATATTTTTTTTTCTATGTTTTAACATACGTACAAATAGGGACCCGTCTGTTATAGTCCAACAGATAAACGAATCAATTGTTTGGTTAAAGTCCAATAAGCAGTGACCATATGTGTTGTATAATACAATTACAAAGACAACGGAAACGTGATGAAAGATATAGAAGATATAGCTAACGTAATTTTTGTTTCTAGCGAATTGTACCTATTACTGGCAGAAGTTAATAAAAATAAGTATAGAGATGAGTGGGTAAATCATAAACTGTAGGTACCTAACATATAAATGTATTTTCAGTAAAATAGAATTTGAATGGGTAGTAGAATAGTGGGTTGCTGTAGAACATTTCCTGAGAAACATGATTTGAGAAAGAAAATGGTGTATTTTTATTTGGATTTTGAATTGAGTTTTTAACATACCTCATGCCTTGTATTTGTCGTTCATAAAGTATTTGGAAATAGAACAACCTTTATAGTGCTGAATGAGTTGTCTAGCTTTAAGTCCACGTTTCAAATGCTTGTTATACGAGTTTCCGTACATTTTTTCTATGCATTCTCTCCAACACATTTTATTTTATTATTTACACATGACGAATTTGTAATAGTACCAATAATTTAGTCAAAATATTTTACATTATTAAATTATGTATTTAGAGAGAAGTAACATAAATTATAATGAATAATAATAATTGTATTTTTATGCACTCGTATAATATGTGAAAAAAATAATAGTTGGACAAATAAATAGTTTGCGTATGAAGATATTTACAATATTTAAAAATACATAATAATCTTCACAAATTTACTATTTCCAAGGTTTGGTTAAGAAAAACTTTTAAAAATAAAATTAATAATGATTGCATTGTTATAAACAAGTATGAAAACCAACTGGCATGAGTTTTCATTCAAATACAGATCAAATGACGAAATTGTATACTGGGCAAATGTGTCACCAACTTGTATTCCCTTATAACATTATATTAATTCCTTGGGACATTATAAGTGACAGCAATCTTATCTTTCAACCAACTTGTCAATCAAACGAACAAACACTATTTTGAATATTGCTAAACAAAAGTATATTAAATGTAGTCGCTATAATGTGATAATCAACCAGTTGAATTTATATAAATTGATGACAAACAAAAGCAATTCAAATAATATCGGTGAAAATGTTACTGGTTTATTCGTTTTACATAATATTTCAATTTGTTTCTAAGTTATGGTTTTCGTTTTCGTTTTCTTGTAGGTTAGAATATATATGTAGTTTTTCGCTCGGTTTCCATGTTTCTAAAAATATACTATTAAATAGTTAAAAAATAATAGCCCAACAATTTGAATTTAAATTGTTCCTTACAGTGAGAGCATAAGTATGGAAAATCGAAAATTCACCACATAAATGCATCATCGAGATTCAATTTAAAATCTGAAAAGATGTTTTATGAGATATTTTGTGCGTTTTAACTATAAAAAAAATCACTGGAAAAATAACAAAAACTATATTTTTGCAACAGTACTGTTATGTAATCTTTTAATGCGATCAGAGCTTAAAATTAAAAAAATAATAATAATAATTAAAATATTAATTTAGTAGGCAATGTGTAAAATGTGTGTTATAAATTATATTTTGCACCAGTTCCTTCACTCTCGTGTACTTTGAGCTACTTCGTTACGCACACGCCTTTAATTTTAAGCACTTGCAATTAGCGATATTAATGAATGGTGTGAAATCCTTAGAGGAATCCTTTTGTTATATTTGTCTCCTGTCATTAGTAGTGAACCAACCATTTATGAAATGGCTACTTATATTATTAAAAATGAATACGTCTTTGGAACTCCTAAAGATATTATGAGTTACTCATTCCGTGTAAAGTATTAAGAGGCGATTAATCCATAAGACAAAGATAGATTATAAATTATTTTACCAACATGTATTAATACAATATTTGTCGTAGCGAGATTTGACAAAAACATTTTTTGGTTGATGTCCCAGTATTATATTATATCTAATACAATCAGACAAATTTTACTCATTTCACATTATTTTTTTTTTTTTGCATTTAATGAATTTATAAGTAATTCCTATTGAAAATTAGCTCATAGAAAATATTTCGATAGGATTATCTAAAAATATCTACGATTTTTTATATAGTTAACAAAATTTCTATCATATTTACATGAATATTAGGCAAAAGACGTGTAAGAAATATTTTTAACATTTAAATCTCGTTAAATACACACACGTTCGGTATATTCTGAATAAACGAATTATTTTATGTGTCTAATTTATATAACATAATTTTAAATTATTGTCAATTTCTTCCATTGTATTTATTTAAGATTTAGTATTATGATTATTGTCGTTTATTTAGATTTTATAATATTTAGTATATTACTGTAGTATAAATATTATATTATGTTTGGGGTAGATAGCTAAATAAAAAACAATTTATAAGTAGAACTTAAAAAATATTACCGTAAACTGAAAATCTTTCGCTCTCAAGTTTCGAATATTAATAAAAAATACGTTGCACGTTACAATGTGATGACATTTTCACGGCATAACAAATATTTTACAAATAACGTGGAAATGTGTAAAGCGTCAACATTTTCTGGATTTGGTATTTAAAAAAATACTTACATACATTTCACGCAGTTTCATATCATTTAATCAGTGTCAAAAACTACAGATTTTTCCGGATTTTCTTTGTGCCGCCTTGAGAAATGTGTGTATGTTTAAGATGGTATATTTTTTTTCGTATAAAACGCTCATTTAAATAATAATAGAAGAAGATTTTGTATCCATTGTATTTGATGCGTTATGGAAATGTATAGCCATCACAATTCTAAAACATATTGTATAATATCGTAACGGATGATGCGTGCTGAGGGTATAGGTAGTCAACCATGATGTTGTAATATCTCGTACCACACGTACCACAGTGTGATTAACAGCCATCGCATCACGCACGTCGTGTTATATCGTCTGAGAGTTGCCTAAAATAACCTAAAATAACCCATAAGCCGCCTAAAATTGACCCACCACCCATCCACCCACAAAGAATTTATAATATAAACACTAGTCACACTCGTACTTTTTATATTAATAGTATTTCCTGTTATAATTTTGTAATTTTTTTTCACTTTCGTATTGAGCACCCACCCACTTGTAAATATTTTTTTTAAAAAAAACAGAGAATCAAGCACTCCCCAAAGACCGCGTTCGTTTTGTCCGGGAGCTTACCAGAGCATTATAAATAGAGATGTGGGCGCTGCGTCGGAGTTCACCTCTGAACCATCAGACCTTGGAAGATTACGATTCCGTAGTAATTAGTAATATAGTCTTACCAGCTGGCAATAAGCACGGTTATCCGTCTATTAAGTTCGAAATAAAAGATTCCAATGGTGATTTTCCCAGGCATTGTTATAGTCATCTCCATGTGAATATGAAATCTCCATAGCTTCATTGGGGTCAGCCCGTCACGTGTTCTATAGCTACTCAGTGACGTGGTCAGAAACGTACAGGTGTACTGTAGGTCAGCCTAGTTCACCCGAGGCCACTCGTTTAACATCGACCGTCAATATGATGTGCATAAGACCGAGGCTTATTAAACCGACATCTCGTATTTTAATTGCGATTTAATTGTAAATTTCATTAACTCCGTTTCAATAAATTGTCGTAAAAAAGTTTTAAATACCTGCCTACTGCAGATCTTCATAGATCGATATTAATTATTATAAATCGAGTTTATAATGATTTCATATTTTCAACATCTTGCACTACATGTTTACGACGTTTTTATATTTCTAAGGATTATTCAAATTACAATTATAGTCGGATTCATTGAATAATATGCTGTTCATGTAAATCAATGTACCTACCTACGAAATATAAGCATCTTAAATTGTGATCTTATAGACTATTATGATAGAACATAACAAACACATTTTGTACAACGCGTCAACATAGTACACTATTATATATAATATATATCTATGATATGTATGTATAAAGTGCCTAATCTATATATATAATATATATATATATGAAATCCAAACACCACTTAGTCACTGATCGCTGTTCCTCGAAAACTACGCAACGCACAAACTTGAAATTTGGAATAGAGGTTCTTCTCACATTTTCACCGAGCAACAAGAAAGGACTTTCAAAAATGTCGCGTTTTAGTGGAGTAATTAACAATTATAATTATTCACCGCCAATACTATTGTGCGGCACGGCGCGCGGTCCGCGGTTTTCTAGCTACCTTCGACTTATCCTTTTCGTCCTTCGTCGTGTAAATAAGAATTGTTCCGAAAAGTTATAGGGATATAATATTGTAAATATAAAAAATACAAAACTACACACGGGCGAAGCCGGGTAATTCCGCTAGTTTCTATAAAACAACATATTTTTTTCTACCTAAGAACCAATCAGCTGAAAACCTATGATACATAATAAACTATAAAATATAACTAAATAGGTATATAATAATTTTTTTTTAATCATCCTTATGGTTTAACGTAAGTATACAAAAATTGTTTTCTGCTATCTAATGAACATTTATTAGGCACCTATCCATATTTAATATAAGCTACTGAATGCAATAAAGCGATATTATGAAGTTTGTTTGTGTACGTCTTATAAAATTTATAATTATATTGTACTGTATACTGATATATTTTAATTCTGAGCTGAAAACAACTTTTTTTCCAAACAAATTTTCTATAATTATATTTATATATGATTCTCAATTCATTTAGTTTCTAACAAAATGTAGGCCAGTACTATATATTTTTCCACTGCACTATACACAAAAACATAATATCTATGATTCCTCAATTTACCTTTCGGAGTATAAATATCTAGTAGCTTGCTGCATTTATTTTTTCTTTGGCTTTTATAACCTTACAAGGGTTTTCAGCGCCATCCATTCGTGTACTTTAAGTCTTTCCAAATCCCGTGCAGTCACCTTTTTCTGGGACTCCCTTGGGATTTTTTTCTCTTGAATTCCAATTCATGACCACTTTAAATAGTGTTTTCATCGTTTCTGCTCATAACATGTCCAAGGTACTGCTACCTTCGAACCTTTATACATTTTGTGACTGATGCCATTTCTATTTTCTCGTGTAGTTCTTTATTGAATTTCGTCCTACACATTATTGTCAAATTGTTGGCCACAAATCACCCAAGAAATTCTATTTTCAAAAATGCTGAGTTTTTGTTCTGTTGAGCTGGCATCGAAGTTCTTTCCTCACACCCATAAGTGAACTATGTATTATAAGATATTTTTAGAAAAAATATTTCAATTGAAAAAATGTCGAGAGTGTAAAAACTCTCAGCCTTTGCAGTGCCCTCACTTATTTTTCTTGCACCAACCATTATTCGTAGGTACTCAGCATCACGCCAAGTAATTTAAATTCACTTACTTTTTTGAGAATTCAATCTTTTGGGTCAATAATGTCTGTTTAGACATTCAATAAGTCAATAATTGTTGCAGCTCATCTCCTCATATTTTTCAGTTCTATTCGTTCCACTGCTTGGTTACATTCAGCATACATAAATCCAAAACCGAAATATGATTCTGATCCATTGATATTTCAGTTAGCTCTACTATTATCCTTCCAACTGCATTATCCAGTAGGATTTCGATGAATAACGGATTTTACGCATATCCTTCTTTTAATCTAGTTTCAATTAAATTCTTAAAAACTGCCTGGTGTACCCTTATTTCATATTGTGTTTTCTCTATGAACATTCTGATCAAAATTTTATTAATTAATATTATAAAGACTTTTCCAGTATACTAGACATTTTTAGAATAACAAATATTTGCAAAAGGTTTTGACGAAATTGATATTTCTTTATTTTTCTTTATTTCAGATATCTTGACATTACCTTTAATAAACATGTGCTCATATTTTTATAAACATATTTGATTACTTAACATAACTTATGAAGTTCAAATGGTACGCGTCCGAGTTCGGTTAGGTGTCATGTATATGTAGTTATACTCGTATTAGGTTTGTTATAAGTACATTTTTTTGGCTTCACATCTGTTAACGATTGGTTTTACCGTTTGATAATCATAATTTCTTACTTGAAACAAGCTCATAACATTTCAAGTAACAATCTTCAAACAAACTACATGTCTAATATGCAATCTGTTAATACATGTGACCATGTCCAAGACAATTAAGTTTCAAAACCAGGAGATCCACGTGTACACGTGTACATCGTACGATGAGAGGACAACATTCCCTGCGGCAAAAGGTATACTGTAAAATACTATACATTTCAGATTTGAGACCTGTGTACAATATTTGAATGATTATTATTGAATTCAAACAAAAATAGTAATATGAAATCATGTCGGAATAAGGGCTCCCTTTTTTTATTAAAAAATAACTGTGATCAGGTGAGACCTGAGCCTACAACTGTTGTAACTAGAAATAAAATGCATTAGTAGGTAAAATTATGTTCTTATATAACTGTTAAATAAAGTAGGTAGGAACTTAAATTCAAAATACATTGAACACATTTTTTTGTTAAAACCCTAAATGAAAACCAAATAATCATTAAAATTAAATTAAAAAAATAACGTAAGTAAATCTCAGCATGAAAAATGTATATAATATTAACACATCTTTTAGTTTTAAATAATGTACCTCATTATCTATAAATAAATACTGTATTATGACAAATCATTCATTTCTGGATAATATCATACCTATATATTATATTTTATAGGCACCAAATTATATTCGACATATTTATTACAATGCTATATTTTCAACTGTTGATCTATTTTTTTTCAAGGAAGAACTTCTTTATTTTATTTCATTTGAAACAATTTAAAAAAATACATAAATCTTCATTCCTTAGATAGGTGCCTTACTTCAATCTCGTCATAAGGAAATACATCAACATTTTAATATCCAGTACTCTTCCTGAACAGTTTATCTTCATTGTATTAGTCTGTAAATGCTTAAGCTCATTTATATTAAATGTTTCAAAATTATAGACTGAAAATCGAAAATAAAACCTGAATCGAATTCTGAATAAATAATTTGCACTGTTGGATCAATATTTTTCTTAATCTAGGAAATGTATTTTCTTATTAATAGATTATTTTGTTCTTCAAATATTAAAAAAATCATTTTGTTCATATACTTAAAAATATTTAATATTCGATATTTTTTATTTGTGATTGAAGTACCTATAAACTCTATTATAATACTATATATATTAGTATGTAAATTGTACTATACACAAGACATATACTAGGTACCAGCTATCTAATACTTGTATATGTTTTAGTTTTTTGTATTATAGTACAAAGTATATTGCATGTTTAATGATAAACTTTATAAATAAAAACTATTGAATACCTGTGTATTATTTTTACCGGAAATAGAAAAACTTAGAATAAAAAAAAAAAACTGTAGAACTTTCTACATTTATTTGATATTCATAATTGAATCTTTACTTAATGTACTCAATATTTGGTTTACATTTTCAAATGCTTATTTTTCAAATTTATTTTTAAGCCAAACACAAGACTAAAGATGTTCATTTTTTCAGTTAAAACTTAAATGTATTCAGTTTTTACCAACTTGTTTGTTTATTCATCAGAGTTTTATTGTAAGATTAAGTAAATAAATAGTCCTAATAAATTTATACAGAAAGTTATTGTTTGAATCATCAGCAAACTTCCACATTTTTATTAATTAAATTAATAATAATCAACGTGACAATGAGGAATATAAATATTATGAGACGCTAGTGTTTATTATCAAATGTTATTACTGTATTGGTTTTTGTATAATATTTTTGACTGTACAGTATTGCATAAGTACTATTGATAGTACTTGAGTACAGCACACAGTTTGTTAATTATATTATTTCAGATTTGCTATTCGGCTTGTTGTTTTATATATTAGATTTTACTCAAAGTAAATGGGTAAATGCAAAAATATTAAATTTGCTTATTAAACATACAAATATATAAAAGTATTCATTATAAATGGTAATTTATTAACTACAAAGTAAAGAAATGATAACTTGAAATTGAAAATTTACTCAATAATATTGATACCTTTCTTAGGCTGAGTTTTGAAAAGGTATAAACAATTTGATATTATTTTTAAACTAAATCATTAATTTTTGTTTCCAGAACAACAATAAATTATTTAATATTTAAGCATTGTCCATTATGAAAATCTATGGCAATACATATTTTTTTTAATTCGAACTGATTAAAGAGCCACATTTATTATAATTTCAACTATTTTATAGTTCATTCAAACAAAAAAGAAAATGTAAATATTTATTTTCGTGTAGCTTAAAAATCTGAGATACCTAATTTATAGGGATAATTTATGTAAATATTTTAAAAGTTGAATAATTAATTTCCATTAAGTATTAAAATAGTAATGTAAT